GTTAAACAATACAGCCAATTAGAGCCATCTACAGAAAGACTGGCTTAGTATTTACAGCTATAATGAGGGCTCAGTTTGGCTGCATTCGCTGGCCTACAATCCAATCAAATCACTGCCTTCCGTGATACAAGAATAGTGACTATTGCAGTCAAGGTATAAGACAAAGTCCATATTAGCTTGACATTTTGAAGATGAGGTTTGTCCATGATGTCTTTTATGCATAAATTTATTTCAATTTAAGTGTGTTTCTGACATAAGATCCCCATCAGTCAAAACTTTCAAGCCAGAATCAAGAAATAAATCTACTTAGTTTGTATTTTTGTATATGATTAGTTCCAGTGGACTAATTTAGAATTAGTTCATTAGTTATTGTATATTTTTTCATGTATATTGTGGGTCAGAGATATTAATTTTCATCCAGGGAAAGTCCCAAAAATATAGTATAGTCAAGCAAAGGAATTAATGCTGATCAAGGTCGGATTCAAAACATAAATGCGAACAGTTCACTTTATGTATAGGTAAAATAAGTAGTAATAGAAACTATACATACACTATAATATATTGTGTTCATTACCACCTAAACTACCTAAATATAAAGTGAATTGATCTGTTTATGTTTTGAGCAGTTCACTTTATATTTGGGTAAAATAAATAGTAATTGAAACTATACTAGCATGACGTATTGTGTTCATTACTACCTAAACTACCTCAAAATAAAGTGGACTGGTTGGTTTATGTTTAGAATTAGATATGCATGTGCATTAATATTTCTTGCTCTTCTATGGAGTAGTATTTTAATCAGATTATTAGTATTAAAGATAGACTATCCTGGATGTGCATGAATATATTTGACCTACTTTACTGTTATTATTTATTTATTACTTTGTGTTACTTTGAGAAACATTATGATACCAGTTAAGGCTTTATAAAACCACTAATATGGCTTAATTTAAAGGTGGGGTGTGCCAACTTCTTGAAAACAGGAAATATGCATACTCAAACTTTAAAGGGGCGCTTTCTGGAAGACTAAAGGACAAGGCTTGGCATTTCATCAGCAAATATTCAGAATTTAAAAAAAAATTATTTTCATATGCATTCACTCACATGAATCAAAAGCATTTAAATGTCAGTCATGTTAGTCTTAACCCTTTCCTAAGTGGTATATCACCCTAGTGGTATATCACCTTTCCTAAGTGGTATATCACCTTTCCTAAGTGGTATATCACCTTTCCTAAGTGGTATATCAACTTTAAGACTTATTAGGTAACTTGCATGTTTAATTTAGAAGTCTAAACCCATTAATCAAATTCTTAGAGTAATTTGTTTTAAAGGAAATCTATCCACTCTCGATTTCCTCCAAAAATCTCGATGAAACAACCCTACGGCCCTATATTAAAAAATGAGAAGACCAAGGGAAACAAGATTTTGTTTTAGCCATACAAAGCCTATATCTGTAGGATTGTTATGGCTTTATGGTTAAAGCAAGCAAAGATATTTGTGTGCATCTGGATAGGACTCAAAACTAATTGCAGGCAGTCCGCTATATTTTATAGGTAGATTAAGAACAGTAATTAATCTGTACAAGAAAGACAATTCCGTTATTAAATCCAAAGTATGGCAAAATCTAGAGTAGAAGTTGTATAGCAGTGGACTCCGCCAGAATTAACAGAATATACTTGGCTTGTAATGTTTTAAATACCAATTATTCTACCCAAAAATACAGTGGAATGTTCTTGAATCATTCCGGGATTTGCACAAATATATTTGCTTTGCTATTTCTTTTGCGATTACAAGCATGTAAGAAATTTTGGTTTGAAATGGCCTAGAAAATATTTTGACGCCATATTCAATCTAAGACATAATTTCTCACATGCTCACCGTCTGCTTATAGCCTCAAACAAAATTCTGGTTTAGAAAATTGAATTACAATTGTGGCTCTAGAAACATCAAAAACTGCCGAAATATTCCGATAATAAATATCAATTACAGCAAAATTTATAAAAATTGGTAAAAAATTAATATTACATTTTGCATGGTTCATGTCATCATGGTGTTCGGGTTCAAATCCTCATGGCATGGTTTTCCCTTTTTCGTTCAATGCATGTTCCTTCATGAAAACATGAACAAATTCAATCATCCCTATTTATTTTTGAAAGCACAATTTCAATATCCAGTTTTCTAAATCATTTCGAAGGGACTTTCGTGTATTTGGCATGGAATACTTTTTCGTTTTATAATATTTTTCATATTCCCTTCTAATTCATATTGTTAGGGGCTTTGAAGCATAATTCTGTTTATTTTAAGCCTATCTCTTCCCTTCCCTTCCCTTCCCATCCCTTCTCCTCTCTTTAAAAATGTCAGAACCATTCATATGAAACATTTCATCCAGAATTCATGGTTTTTTTTTACTCACCTATATCATTTTGTTAAAAAATTTGTTTCAACTTTCAGGGTAATATATAGGTGCGCATTGTATTCACAAATATACAGTATATAAACATTTCCATGAATGCTCAGTTTGTCACAAGATCTGTATGACAATATACTATTGTTAAGGATAATTAGGGTTAAATAAGCTTGATCTCATTAATTAGTCAGTAATTAATTACATAACAGTTTTACAAACTTACATCCATTTACTTATTGAGACAATCACTGAACAATTTTAAATATTTTCTCAAACTGCGAAGGGATTCTATCTTATTACACCTATTTGAGTTTTATTATGACGTGACATTTGAAAGATTCTATCTTGTTTGCACTATAAGCCTTATTCAGTTAAAATGGAACCCTAATTAGCACTTATAATGGAAATTTTTGTCCCTCTTCAGAATCAGAATCAGTCTGCTGTTCTTCTACGATTCTATTTGCACTTTTCACTTCTAGGTTGTTTTCATGTGCAGATTTTTCTGATATTGGACAATTGTATCACTTAATTTTTTTTTACACTGATAAATGCCAAGCCTTTAGTTGAGGTTCATACAAACTGCTTAAGTGTACAAGTTGCCATGGTGGTTATGTTATTAAAGCCATCATTTATTCAACAAGTTTAGAAATATTAATTGCCAAGCATTAAGTTTAGAAATACAGCATTTTATTCAATAATATAGTAGCTTATGTTTTAATATTTTATTCTTTTTTATTTCATAGTCTGAAATCAAATATTATATATGATAAACATGTTATAATAACTATATTTATTTCATAGTCTGAAATCAAATATTATATATGATAAACATGTTATAATAACAATATTTATTTCATAGTCTGAAATCAAATATTATATATGATAAACATGTTATAATAACAATATTTATTACATAGTGTTATTAAACTCAAAAAACATATAAATACAACACCAGCTGAACTCAATGAATGACATATATAACAATTATAATAACCATATTTATAACATAGTGTTATTAAACTCAAAAAACATATAAATACAACACCAGCTGAACTCAATGAATGACATATATAACAATTATAATAACCATATTTATAACATAGTGTTATTAAACTCAAAAAACATATAAATACAACACCAGCTGAACTCAATGAATGACATATATAACAATTATAATAACCATATTTATAACATAGTGTTATTAACTCACATAACATAGTACATTTAACTATGAACATTGGTCTTCCCTCCCTTTTTAAAGCCTTAAAACACTGACATTTAGCACAGTTTTTCTGTGTGTTATTGGTAAGGAACACCTAAGACATCATTGTCTAGAATACACATTAGATATAGAAGGTGATCAAGTTCAAGTTGACCACATAGCTTATTTTTGGGGCCAGGCCCCTTTTCCTCCAAATATGACCCATCATCTGCTGTCATGACCATTCGTAGAATTTTTACACATTTTCTTAAAACCACACTAAAGGGCACAGAATGCGACTTTCACATTTTTTAATGAAAAAAGAATTACCATGTTATTATTATTGTAGATAGACTAACATATGTATATAGGCCCCTCCTACAATTAAGAAACCCCTCCCACATTCAAGAAGCCCCTCCCATTGTTAATGTAAATAGTCTCAAAACGACACAATCTAATTCAAATACATCTCTAGATATTTGGTTGAGTTTATAGTCTGTTGTTTATGTCTTTCATATAAAGATCTTTAGAAATTTAATAGAAAAACGTGTTCATAAATTCAACCAATAGAATGCCAGTTTAAAGATCAATGAGTGTTGACTTCATTGAAAGTTCACTGCTAAAATTGAGTTTGTATGCAAATAACCCAATCGTTTCATTAAGTCCAACACGATTAAAAGAGAAGATCATTGTGTCCATGAAAGAAACTTAACCAAATAACTAGAGCTGTATTTAACAAAACCGTACCCCTTCCACTGTACATAGTCTCCACCCACTAAGCCTCTCCCCTCCATCAGTTTGCGGGTTTGTAATTTGTTAATATTGTAATTTATGTATTTCTAGAGGTTTAATAATAATTATGATTTTTGATCGTATTTCAAATAAAATATCGTTTCAAATAATTACTGTTCTTTTATTTTATTCGTACAACCATGTTTCCTAGGTAAGATTTTTAGCAATTGTGAGTATTATATATAGACACAGCTTTATGGAACAACAACCACTGGTTAAAGTTTAATGCAACGTTTCGACGTGTTTCCCTCGTCGTCCTCAGTGGTTATTGTTCCATAAAGCTGTGTCTATATATGGTTGTGAAGGGGGCACTTCGAATAGTACAACAGTACACCACCCCTTCAAAAATAAGCATATAATTTAGTACAACACTGGACCACCCATACAATGGACCACCTCTTTGGAATAGCATATGATTGATATAGTACAACAGTGGACCACCACATTGACAATTGCCCTTACAATACCCCTACAGTGGACCACCCCTTCGGAAACTCGCCAGTGTTTGGAATCTAACCCACAGTTAAGTATATCTATTTACAGCAAATCAGTTTTACGGAAACTGATTACTGATGCCTAGACCGGTGCTTTCGGCACCTCTCACCATCGTTGTATGGAATTGGACTCGCTGTCCACCCGAGAATGGCTTGAACGATGTTGACCCATTCCCACACAGCTGCCACTCCCTTCCAGAAACTGGATGAAATTCTGGTCTCCTAGATCCTCATCTTCGTCACTTTCGTCTTTAAATATACACACTCGGCAACATAATATCTTTTTATACAGTTCGATCACTTCAGTTCGTATTGCCCGGTTGAGAAAGCTGTATAGAAACGGATTCATAGCGTAGGCACAGTATCCCAACCAAAGTACGATCACCTCTATTACATGTCTATGGGAGATTCGATCTCTAATAGCACCATAACCGTGATACAAATAATACGGACCCCAGAATATCACGAACGCCGTTAACGTTATGGATAACGTTTTGATCGCTTTATGGTGATTCCTTTCACCCGGAGTTTGATGTCCGTACGGAGCTATCCATGCTGTATTTGGACTCCGCACGGAGCTGGCGATCGTAGAAGAGCTACTGGACTGTTCGATGGACGTGCTTTGGAGCGATTGACGATTTATCCCCGGGTTAATACGAGTTAACGCTTTATGTGCCACTCGAAAAATTCCCCAATGCATGAGAAAAATGATTAGGGCAGGTACGATGAAGCACAGTAGTCCGACGATTAAAACGTAGACTTTGTTCATTATCTCGAGCCCCCAGGAAAAAGAGCACTGACGTTTATAGGATTGAAACGAGTAGGAGTTGACCCCTAACAGAGGGGGCACGGACAGAAGGAGACTGTCCATCCACACAAAACCGATCATGCACAGAATCTTCGTTAAACTCATGTGAGCCGCATGATGCATAGGGAATCGAATGCTGTAAAAACGTTCTACGCTAATCACACACAAATTTGCGATGGATGCAAACGAAAACAAACTTCCTAAAAATCCTATCAGGGCGCAAAAGGACTCACCAAAAATCCATGAGTCGGAATAATACGAAACGATAGCCGAAGGCAACAAGAAGATGGCAGCCGAAATCTCAATGAAACACAGATTGAGAAGTAATAAGTTTGATAAATTATGTCTGATTTGAGGTTTGGTCACGATGACAACAATGTTTATAAAATTTCCCCAAAATGCCAGAAAATTTATGGTTGCCATGCCAATCACACCCAAAATGCGTTCCAAGGCAATGTCCGGAACGTCTGCTATCTGTGTGAAATTGGAAATTGAAGAATTTTCCATTTTGATTTGTCTCTTGAAAAACTAGATTTTTGTAAGCTTTATCCAATTTTACTTTTTAGAGATTTTCCATTTTCGTCAACATATTTCAATTATTATCCATTTTCGTCAACATATTTCAATTATTATCCATTTTCGTCAACATATTTCAATTATTATCCATTTTCGTCAACATATTTCAATGATTATCCATTTTCGTCAACATATTTCAATGATTATCCATTTTCGTCAACATATTTCAATTATTATCCATTTTCGTCAACATATTTCAATTATTATCCATTTTCGTCAACATATTTCAATTATTATCCATTTTCGTCAACATATTTCAATTATTATCCATTTTCGTCAACATATTTCAATTATTATCCATTTTCGTCAACATATTTCAATTATTATCCATTTTCGTCAACATATTTCAATGATTATCCATTTTCGTCAACATATTTCAATTATTATCCATTTTCGTCAACATATTTCAATTATTATCCATTTTCGTCAACATATTTCAATTATTATCCATTTGTGTAAACATATTTCAATGATTATCCATTTGTGTAAACATATTTCAATAATTATCCATTTTCGTCAACATATTTCAATGATTATCCATTTGTGTAAACATATTTCAAAAATTATCCTTGAAGTCTGTGTAAACATATGTTAAAACCTATCCATGTAAGTAAACATATCCAAAAATTTTCCTTGTAATCTATGTAAACATATGTCAAAACTTATCCATTTATGTAAACACTTTCACAAATTGTCCATGTAAGTAAACATATTTCAAAACTTATCCCTGTAATCTATGTCAAAACCTATCCATGTATGTAAACATGTTTCACATTACATTTTTGAAAAAAAAATATCTATAAATGTCATCAAATTTAAAAAATTATCTGTTCATATCCACGTACACGCATTTCACAAATTTTCCATGCCTGTCAACATTTTCCAATTATTACCAACGAACGAAAGAACCAGCTCATGATACAAAAACACGCCATCTCAATTTCCATCTTTTTAAACAAATCTAAGCTAGTATTTATTCCAAACTCGAACTATCTAAGTAAGATGAACAACAGAATTTCACCAGACTTACATCTCTTTTTATAGATCATCGTTTTCTTTCCGCATACATTTTCTCATAAAGATTCCAATTTACTTGCATATACTCTGTCACTGTGTGTGTCAATGCGACATCCCATTTCAGAGAGTCCACATAGCTAAAGATGCTTATTTGTCAGTTCTAATAGCAATATTTGCTGGAATTTTCAACAAGGTTTAACACAACATCCCTTTTAGAGTGTCCACATAGTTATAATGCTTTTCTTTTTCGTAGGTTTATCAACTTAGCATCTTTTTCAGAGAGTTCACATAGACAAAAATGTTTATTTGTAAATTCATTCCAACATCTATCGAACTTTATCTAAAATCACTTTTTCAAAACACAAAGACGGTGGAAAATCAACCTCAGATTCATGCAATCGTCCAGACAAAATTTCCCTCATCGCCCACTGTAGATATAATCATCATATAATCAGTCCACACGAGGTCTCTTCAGTTAAAGTCTATATCTAATATCCATATTACGAGCTGGTTCTAAGTTTATAGAATAGACTTGTTTGTGTATCGCTGTTATTAGACACAATGGACTAGTTTTCAACAGTTTGCTATTTAATATTTAAATCACTCCTTTCACGATACGCTATACACAGTACGCTAAAAATATTTCTTCAATTTCCAAGATCCAGATCTGTATTTTTCTCTCGTCCACATAAAATTGTTCCATTCTCGAGTTCAATGCTCAAAAACTACTGCTTAGTTCAGTTTGAAGACCTTTTATTACAATCGCATCCAAATGAAATGAAATATATTTTTACGTCCTACTGTTCTGTACCTTATTGAGCTATTGAAAGTAAATGGTTTTGCTGTATTCCTTTTCCACACCTGATTGGGATAATGAGCACGAAACGATCTCATCGAAGAACAGTAATAAAGGTGTTTCACAGTTAGCTATATTTGTAACATCCCTTTCACGGTTTCAACTTTCGATATAATTTCATAATCTAAGTGAATACGCGAACTAATTGTTGGACAAGGCATCTAACCATCTGTTTGACAGGGTATCTCTCTGTTGGACAGAGTATCTATTTGTCTGTTGAAGACTGCATCTATCTATCTATTGAAGAGGGCATCTATCTATCTGTTTGACATGGCATCTCTCTATTTGACAGGCGTCTATCTGTTGGGCAGGACATCTATCTGTTTGACAGGGCGTCTATCTGTTGGACAGGGCGTCTATCTGTTGGACAGAGCATCTATCTATCTGTTGGACAGGACATCTATCTGTTTGACAGGGCGTTTATCTGTTGGACAGAGCATCTACCTATCTGTTGGACAAGGCATATAACCATCTGTTGGACAGTGCATCTATTTATCTGTTGGACAGTGCATCTATTTATCTGTTGGACAGGGCATCTATCTGTGTGACCGGACGTCTATCTGTTGGACAGAGCATCTATCTATCTGTTAGACAGGGCATCTATCTGTGTGACAGGACGTCTATCTGTTGGATAGAGCATCTATCTATTTGTTGTACAGAGTATCTATCTGTTGGACAGGGCATCTATCTGTGTGACAGGACGTCTATCTGTTGGACAGGGCATCTATCTATCTGTTGGACAGGGCATCTATCTATCTGTTGGACAGGGCATCTATCTATCTATTGAAGAGGGCATCTATCTATCTGTTGGACAAGGCATTTATCTGTGTGACAGGACGTCTATCTGTTGGACAGGGCATCTATCTATCTGTTGGACAGGGCATCTATCTATCTGTTGGACAGAGCATCTATCTATCTGTTGGACAAGGCATTTATCTGTGTGACAGGGCGTCTATCTGTTAGACAGAGCATCTATCTATCTGTTGGACAGGGCATCTATCTATCTGTTGGACAGGGCATCTATCTATCTGTTGGACAGGGCATCTATCTATCTATTGAAGAGGGCATCTATCTATCTGTTGGACAAGGCATTTATCTGTGTGACAGGACGTCTATCTGTTGGACAGGGCGTCTATCCGTTGGACAGGGCATCTATCTATCTGTTGGACAAGGCATCTATCTCTCTGTTGGACAGGGCATCTATCTGTGAGACAGGACGTCTATCTGTTGGACAGGGCATATATCTATCTGTTGGACAGAGCGTCTATCTATCTGTTGGACAGGACATCTATCTGTTTGACAGGGCGTCTATCTGTTAAACAGAGCATCTATCTATCTGTTGGACAGGACATCTATCTGTTTGACAGGACGTCTATCTGTTGGACAGAGCATCTATCTATCTGTTGGACAAGGCATCTATCTGTTTGACAGGGTGTCTATCTGTTGGACAGAGCATCTATCTATCTGTTGGACAGAGCGTCTATCTATCTGTTGGACAAGGCATCTATCTATCTGTTGGACAAGGCATCTATCTGTTTGACAGGGCGCCTATCTGTTGGACAGGGCGTCTATCTGTTGGACAGGGCATCTATCTATTTGTTGGACAGAGTATCTATCTGTTGGACAGGGCATCTATCTGTTGGATAAGGCATCTATCTATCTGTTGGACAGGGCATCTATCTATCTGTTGGACAGGGCATCTATCTATCTGTGTGACAGGACGTCTATCTGTTGGACAGGGCATCTATCTATCTGTTGGACAGGGCATCTATCTATCTGTTGGACAGAGCATCTATCTATCTGTTGGACAAGGCATTTATCTGTGTGACAGGGCGTCTATCTGTTGGACAGAGCATCTATCTATCTGTGTGACAGGACATCTATCTGTTGGACAGGGCATCTATCTATTGGACAGAGCATCTATCTTTTGGATAGATCAAAATTCAAAATCAAAAATAAAATATTCAATGTTTGAGACGGGTTTAGCTTACTGTCTACTTGACCACAATATTGATTAACAGTTTGAAGTATGAAAGCCATAGAGTCGGTATTTAATTCACAGTTTATCTCTAATTATTTACAGCTATTTTGAACCGGAAGACGGTCTTGTTGCTTAGTAGGACGTCTGCAGTTTTGAAGGATGCAAGTATTTAGCGAGAACTATTTTAGTAAAAAGGTTAATTTCAAAGATAGGTCTGCCATTTGCATACATCGCACCTCTGGTTGCTTAGGAGAACGTCTGAAGTTATGAAAGAATATAGCGAGATCTTTAATTTCTGAATTTCAAGAAAGTTCGCAATGAGAAATGAAATGAATGGAGTTATACGTCCTACTCTTCTGCACCTTGTGGGCTAATGAAGACGGGCAACGCCATGCAGGGTGCCATGAGGGAAATTTTGCCAGGACAGCGGCATTAGCCTGCTCTTTTTCGATTTCCAACTGTCGAGGGATCTTTAACGTGCACAGCCTGTAGCACACGAGGCCTCGGTTTATTGTCCCATCCGAACGACTAGATGCTTTTTCCATGTCAGCCCCTCTTACCTGCATCACTGACAGGGGGAAACCGGGTTGAAAAATCCGAAGGTATTATCTCGACCTATGCCGGGATTGAACACTGGACCTTCGTCGAGCAAGCGTCTAACTCACTGAGCCGCGTTCGCAATGAGGCTTCTACGGAAAGACTCAAAGAGGGCAGAACAAGAGGCCACCTTCCTCCCTACATTCAAATATCTTGTCATTTAACATAGGAAAGAATTGCCTGAGGGCGCCCTTGCCAGTATTGTAGACCCAACTCGACCTCATCGGAGAATTCTCAGAACTGCCACTGACGGTACCGTCCCCCCCATGTCTTTCAGGGATACAGTGAGATTTATTTTAATAATACATGTACTCCAAATTTAGGAACGTCTGCGTTTTATAAACCCACACTCCCTTCGCCTGATTACTAAGCATGCCATCTGTAGTTTACAATTTCAGAACCCCAGCTGAAATGATTTGTAATAGTGACGTCATTAAACATTAATCCTCGGGCATCTGACTGAAAATTGGAATGATGCAAATTGATGCTGTTTGGATTTCCAATATACATCAAAAGTTACCAAAAAAACCCCACTTTTATAAGACTTATAACGACAATTGGAGAAACTTCTTTTCAACCCCTTACAAGCTGAAGCGGGCGTTGACTTGTCTCCTACTAACCAACCTCATAAATCTACTATTTCTGAAAATAGGTTCAGTCTATGAAGCGGGTTTAATATAAGTAGATTCTAAATCTAACATTTCATTAGTATGTATTACATAATTAAGCATTAATATGCAATAATACTAATACTATTACCTAGATTCTGTACTCTTTCCAAACATCATAAGGATTTGCCCCCCTAGAAAAGTGGTTTGTATCCCCAATTGTACCCCCACTTTATTTTCAACAAACCTAAATGTCTACCTTTTCTCTCAAAAACATGTGCCAGAATGCACAAAATCAATTCATTTTTTCGCACATTTTCTTGAGAGAACCCTCTAAGATACTCTATTCAGCAGTTGTCTCCCCATTGAGTCAGTCTGCCCCCTATTTGTACCCCCAGTCTCGGAAGGGTGCAGAATTGACAAGGTAGACTAATAGCGGAAGGGTATCTCGTCCACAACGTGTCCGGACCAGTACCTCATGAGTTCCCTTCATATTTTGACTGTTTCGACAATCTCGCATCGTACACTGTACTTCGCCTATTCTATTCTTCCACCCCAAAACAATCAGACCTGATGAGGATTGTGTCCGAAACACTTGGCGACCAGGCACATTGTTTCAGCAGCATATGGTGAGCTCTAAAGAACTGACTTGCACTACTAGTCAATTGACTGTCCTGATGAGAATTATATATCCAAAACATATGTCAGCAAGGCGTAATGAGCTCTAATCAATTAATTAAATTAGTGAGAATGGTACCAGTACGTTTCAGTCACCATTGTTATTTAGTTGTATTAATATCTCATCAATAAATCATCGACAACAAACATTGCGACATTGTATACACAGTAGAGCAATCATTGGATGTTTTGGGTGGGGGGAATTGTTTAGGGAACCTCGCATAACAGTACAGGAAGGGGAGGGGGGTGTGCAAAGCTGGTACATGTAATGAAATAATTTATAGGCTTATAAAAAGTTAATAAACATGCCTGAGTAAATTGGCAACTTAAAGAAAGTAATTAGATCTATAAAAGTTAGTAACTTGTAATTGAATATGTCATGATTTAATAGCCGGTTATTTCTGCTCGTTATTATTGATATATTAATATCTCCTCTCACGACACAACTCATCAGTCCTTAGCATGACTACACTGTTAAAACTTCTCTGTAAAAATACAGAGCCTATACTGGCAGCATTGACGGACTCATTCGGGTTTATTATTTAAATATTAATCTCTCCGTCCACGATATGACTACATACTGTTCTATCATAGCATGACTACACTCAATTTTCCTGGCAGCATTGGCCCGCTCACACTGTGTACATTATGTTTTCTATGTTCATAACACAGGAATTATCTGGCAGCATTGATTTAGCTTCTTGTTCTACACTGTTAAAACTGTGTAGAAATAACAAAGTTTCTCCTGGAAGTCCTTATTTTCTCAAATGTGTGTTGTGCACACTGTTATACTTTTTTGAACACAAACCATTTTTTCTGGCACCATTACTTGTTATTTAAACTGTTAAAAAAATGACAATTACTTTGGACTCATCGATGTTCAAGCACTTGAGCACAGTGTGATATTCCACATTGTTAAAACGGTATCGAAATAAGTACAGTGCCTCAAATTCGTCAAATTTTATACTGCACATTGTTAAAACTTCTCCGTAAAACGCATTTTAGTTATGGCAGCATTCATATAACCCATCATTTTTAGGCGCACACAATTAGGTAACCCATCATTATCCGGCGTACATAACCAATGGTTTAAATAAAATCAGCTAGAAGCTGCTTTGCCAACAATTCTAGGTCTATTTCACTGATAAAGTATACAGTGTATGATTGATTATATACCACTAATTACTGATTTGAGGATTTAAAAACCAAACCTTCATATAGTAATTATTACATTTGTGCTTTCATGCCCTGTCCACACTGTCGTGGTGAATCGGGGGTTGAATGGTGCGTAGGGGAGGTGGGGATGGGTTTTGCTCTGTGTGTTCAATGTATACTATCACGGGTTGGGCTGTTAAGGTAGGGTGATAGGCTGAGGGGATGAACTGCTACCTAAGCGCGTTCAACATTAATCGTTCGGATAGGACCTATTGGCTAACAAACTAGCTACAGATTTTTAAAAAAACAATAGCTGAAATTTAGCTATACCAGCTGGTAAGCATGTCTTGAGAAACTGTATCACTCAAAAATCATAAAAATATAACTGTATCGCTTATAAATTATTAAAATATTCAAAATTTTATTCATTCGCATATCTGATTCGGCGACAGTAGTGTGTATTTCTTCGTGTGTGAGTTTTATTCGTTTCTAACTAAACTATAATCAATTCAATATCAGATAAGCAATTAATTAAATTTGTTGCTAGGCAACAAGCCAAACATGTCACGGTATCAGAATAACACATCGTAAAACAACGCGTAGTTTATTTTTTTTTTAAATCATGTGATATTTACTTCTCAGTTTTGTTTTTCGTATAATTTGTAAATTACATAAGGCTTAGATGTAACAAATTATTTATAGATATCACGAAATGAAATGGAGTTTTACGTCTTATTTTTTTTTTAGTTTTATCAATGTAGCACAGCAAAAATAATCCATTTTTCGTGCCATATGGTTCTTTTGTTTTTTATAGTAAATTTTGAAGTAAATTCAGGAACAATGAAATGAAATGGGCTTTATCAGCAGCCCCATTTTGCCCCCCCCCCTCTCCCACCACTCCTCAATTATGCCTGAGGGGTTGGGGGATGAGAAGTGTCTCTTCGAGGCGAAATCCTAAGGCCCTTGAGGCTGTGGGTCTGGGGGCAGTGGCGTAAAAATGTATTCTACTTTCACTTCCGAAATCGTATTCTCCGGCTACCCACATTACAAAAGCCCCCAGGGTAAGGCCCCTCT